AAAAAAAAAAAAAAAAAGAAAAAGAATTTACGCCTGGCCAATTCGCCCATCTGAGGTGTGCAGCTCAGTGGCTTCCAGTATATTCAGGGCTGTGCAACTGTTACCATGGCCAGTGCCAATGCCTCCCCTGGGAAGCTCCATGCACGTCACCTCCCTGGGCCCTGTGGCATGTCCCCAGTGAGAGGGATTGACAGAGAGGTGGTTTTCCCTCCTTTTTTGGTGCCGAATCCTGCTAAAGGCACCTTTTTTCAGTACAGTCTGTTTCCCACACTTCACACCCACTCGTGGCTGGGTGCCTCCAGCTGGGAGGTGTGGTATAGGGTCCAGTGGACTTGCCCTGTGAGCTATCTCTGTCGCTTCTTTTTTTTCTTTGAGACTCTCCAACTTTTAGTTTTGGAAATTTCAGATTTAGACACAGGCTGGAGTGCAGTGGTGTGATCAAAGTTTACTGTAGCTTGCAACTCCTTGGTTTGGATCCTCCTGCCTCAGCCTCCCAAAGTGCTGGGATTTCAAGAGTGAGCCACCACACCTGGCCAAAAGTGAACTAATCTTAGGCGTAGAGCTTGATTAGTTTATACCTGTGTATACACACCTGTGTGCTCAGTTCCTGTCCCTAGAAGGCTCCTCCCCTCCCCATGCCATCACTGTTGTTCGGGTAGGGACCTCTATGCTGTGTTCATGATTCTAAGTCACATTTTCTCTTTGCAGATTGCTGGAAGTTGCCTCTTCCATGGGACTGTTTCCAGCACAGTGTTACACTCAGGCTCCCTAGTTTAGGATTTGTTGAGCTTTGAAGCTGTCTTAGAGTTCACCAGTCCTGCTGTGCTCGCCCCACTGGCATAGAGACTTTTGTTTTCATATATCCCTCCAGACATGTTCCTGAAGGCTGAGCACATGCACCGGGGAGGGGTGTAGGTGAGGACTAGTGGTGCAGAGGCCAAGCCTGCTGTGCCCACTCCCATCAAACTCTTTCTGCAGGGCGTGTCTGCAGCTGGCCAGGTGGTGTCCCTGAAGGTGTGGCTGATTGACGACATCTTAGAGAAGATCAACAACCACCTTCCATCTCACATCCGGATTCTGGGTAAGCCCATGAAGGTGGCTGCACACTGGTGCATGACCTCGCAGAGTTCAGCCAGGCCTCCTTTACCAATCGGTGTCTGTAGGTGGTCCGTTCCTGCCTCCTTGAGAAGTGGGAGCAGGGGGTAGATAGAAAGCCCTCTACCTGCCAGCCTGCTTCTACATGGGTGCCTTGTTTTAAGCAGACACTGGATATGAAAATCCAAAGTTGGCCAGGCTTGGTGGCTCAGCCTGTCATCCCCGCACTTTGGGAGGCGGAGGCGAGTGGATTGCCTGAGCCTACAGGTTCGAGACCAGCCCGGGCAACTTGGCGAGACCTTGTCTCTACAATAAATTAAAAATAAAAAAATTAGCTGGATGTGATAGCGCACACCTGTAGTTCTGGCTACTTGGAAGGCTGAGGTGGATGGATTGCCAGAGCCCAGCAGGCTGATGCTGAGGTGGCCATGAGTGTGCCACTGCACTCCAGCCTGGGTGACAGAGTGAGACTCCAACTCAAAAAGAAAAAAGTCCAAATTCATGATTAAAGTGGACAGTTACTCCCTTTTATGCAGACTGAGTGATAGAATTTTTAGACTCCTTAAGACAATAATTGACTGGGCGCAGTGGCTTGTGTCTGTCATCCCAGCACTTTGGGAGGCGGAGGCTAGAGGATTGCCTGAGCCCAGGGGTTCGAGACAGCCTAGGCAACTTGGTAAGACCTTGTCTCTACAATAAATCAAAAAATTAGCTGGGCGTGGTGGTGCATGCCTGTGCTTCCAGCTACTTGGAAGGCTGAAGTGGAAGGATTGCTGGAGCCCAGCAGGTCAAGGCTGTGGTAACAGAGTGAGACTCTGACTTAAAAAAAAAAAAAAAA